TATTCATGAACATGCATTCTTATCATCTGATCATGACATTTTAATTTGTATGCATCTATTACACTATGACATATATGATGCTGGCATGCACATATAAAACATATATTCTTATGCTAATTTCACTTTAATTTATCTTTGGATTGCCCATGTACATTATTGAGAACAGAAGGTATGCGAGTACACTGAGGTTGTGCCCAATGCTGTCACCACAACTCGAATAAAATACCACTAGGGGCACTGAATATTTGTCCCGAAGGACCACTATATCTCGAATGACCACTGATAAATCCTCGACTCTTGGCATGCCAATTATACCTACAACTCTCATATTAAATAACATGGACTTAATTATAAATAAAATTCTCATTTTCATATATATTCTATCACCTTTCATAAAAACACATAATTCAATTCATATGACTACACATGATCATTTCCATTATTTCCCCTACCTGAATGGATTCTCATATAATTGCATTCATTCATATAAGTTCATATTTAAAGCCTAAATTAATCATGTATGAAATTACCATAACATGAACACATATATAATATGCATGTACATGAAAATGAAATTATAAGTTCAACTATATGAGATAGACTCATCGCAAGTCTTATCTCAATACAATTCCATTTAGGATATGCACTCACCTTAACCTTGTTTGCTTGACTCGATACTAATCTTTCGATTGTTCCGGAACAATATTACGTTCTATATCTACATAGTAATACATTGATACAAATCAGTATACTAATTAACATATTCTAAACTATTATTTCTTAAGCTAAAAGAAATGATATTTTCATCTCTTAATGAATGTATGTATCGATGCACTCTACAGTTTATCGATGCATTCCTTAAGGTGTGCATCGATACACTGCTTTTGCATCGGTACACAAATTACATTCGATGTTTTCTTCTTAAGGGGGTGCATCGATGCACTCCTTATGCATCGATGCACTAATTGCATTCAATGTTTATTTATTTGAGAGTGCATCGGTACACATTGAATGTGTATCGATGCACACAACCCATAAATGTTATTTTGAGCACAAAAATACCTTCATAATCCTCTCAACACTTCATAATTCACCTCCTTTTATATCCCTAATTTGCATATACTTACTTAGACTAATTATTATCCATTCAATACCTCTAAAACTTAAAAATCCAATCCTCCATATAGAATTTAAGAATCTCACTCAAATTCCAACATGTTCTAAATCTAATTCTAACACTTCATATCCCTTAATCAAGTTGGTGACAAGTCAAATTCAACTTCTTATTCTCATGATGAACTTTATTTCGAAATTTCATTCAAGAATTCCTAATCTTTAATTCTTCCTGCACCCTTCATCTTGTTGGTTTAAAGCAAATTAAGCTTTCCTTAAGCTTAATTAGCATATAAGGATCAAAACCAAACTTAAATCTCAGCTATTAAACAACTAATAAGAATTCTTACCTTTACCTTGGCTCACACGCACAGAGAAAAAAGGAGGAGAAGAGAAGTCTTGAACCCTTGTGTTTTGCTTCTTTCTCTTCCACATATAGATGATATAAATATAAGCAATCTTAATTATTTTCCCTTGCAAATGACCATTTTGTCCTTCAATTCCATTTCCCTTGCGATTTAATCCTATACCAAATTACAATATTATTCAATCATTATACTTTAATCACCAAATTCTGTAACTTTACAATTTTATCACTAACCGATATTGAGGATGTTACACTAATTAACCTACTAAATTATGTTAAAGAATACCTAATTCTAAAGTTCAGGGACTAAAGAGTGAAAAACCTAAATCTAAGGGATAAATCTAAAATATAAATATTCTAATAAGGACTAGATTAAAAAATCTAAACCTAATAGTATTAATGAAATTCAAATAGAAAAGAAGTTAAAGTCAAAATGAAAACAAAATAGGTACTAATATGCAATGAAAATAAAATTCAACTGCCAAATAATGTTTCAACTTTACTTTTAGTTGCATTAGTTTCAACTTTGATTTTTGATTTTGCTTTTACTCTTGCCTTTTATTTTTTGACATTTCTGGTAAAACGCTATCTAAAATATTATTTTTTACAGAAAATATTATTTTCGCTAATTAATTTATGATATAATCCAATATTAACATTTTTGGTAGAAAAAATAATATTTTAGATAACGTTTTACCAAAAATAATAAACATTTTAGATAATGCCAGATATTAACATTTTCGGTAGAAAAAAATAATGTTTTAGATAATATTTTCGGTAGCACATTTTCTTAATCGTATATTAAAATCGACGTACCTTATACATCCCCAACCTTGTTTTACTTTTTGGTTTTCCTTTTTGTGGGATTCTGACGCTTTGCTAACTGGGTGTCGTTCAGTTGTTGTTTGTTTAATAAAGTTTTTTTATAATTAAGCTTTTATTACCCAAAGGATAGCAGTAAACCGCTACAAAACAAATACAATCAAAAGAGCAAAAAAAGGGATCCTAATTACAACAAAATCATACTATATCCCGGTAATTACATAGAGAAAGGTTAGTTTTATCTAATCTATTAACATCCCTATTACTAAGTTGGATTCCTACAATTTGCTTGATTGATTCAAGAATTTCATTCTCGGTTCTGAATTGAATCTGTCAAAAATACAAAACCTAATATATATTTTAGGGTAAATTACACATTTAGTACTTTAATTATCAGTTTTGATCTATTTTAGTATCTAAACTTTTAATGTTTTCAAAAACATATCTAATATTTAGTTTTTATTTTATTTTAGTACATCGTCGTTAAAAAAATAAAGCGTTTAGTACCTAAACTATTAATTTTGGTCTGTTTTAGTACCTAAACTTTCAATTTTTTCAAAACTTAATGTTAAATTTTGAACAATGATACTAAAATAAAACAAAACTAAAGTTTTTAACGGCGGAGTACTAAAATTAAACAAAAACTAAACTTTAGGTATGATTTTGAAAAAATTAAAAATTTAGGTACTTATACATAACAAAATTGATAGTTTATGTACTAAACGTGTAATTTACCCAACATTTTTATATCTTATACGTGAAAGTAATTAATATATTTATTATAAAATATTTTTATTTTCTTATTTTAAACAATTTGTGTAAATATATAAAATAAAAACAAAATAAAATGGTATTATATGTTTAGTTCCTATTTATATCTTTTGAAAAATTTAAAATTATGGGTAAACTACATGTTTAGTACCTAAAATATCAGTTTAGTCCATTTTAATACATAAATTATCATTTTTTTCAAAACCATTACTAACATTTAATTTTTGTTTCATTTTAGTATCACGCTATTAAAAATTTAACAAACGGGCTCGTCGGCCATCACGTCTACAGTCGCCAACCATCGCATTCGTCGACTGATGAGCCCAAACTTTCCAATTCGGACCTTTATTACTCCTTGAACGCGACTTCGACCTTCATTTCATAAAAAACGCATCAATCTTTCAAAATCAACGATGGACTCTTCGATTTCTTCATCCTCCGATCTCTATGGTCCATCGTCCGATGGGTCTGAAACTAGACTATATTAGTCAACTCGTCATTCTCTCATGGTCTACCATTCGGATTGGTTGTTCGTCCACAAGAGCTATGACACATTAGCCCGTCTATTAAGTTTTTCACTACGTAGTATTAAAATGAAACAAAAACTAAACATTAGATATGATTTTAAAAAAATTAAAGTTTAGGTAAAAAAATAAAAACATTGTTACAATCATAATATGAGTAAGCTGAAAATATTTAATGTAAAAATATATAATTTTTTAAAATTATTGAGAAATATTTTATATTAATAATTAGTGAAATATAACATTTGTATCATACTTTTAAATTTTAATAAATATCAAATGTTATCTATTGGTTTGACCGTGTGATAAGTTTTACTGTGTCAATGCAATTGTTTGCTTCTATGACTCTGTCATCCACTCAAACTTGACAATGTTTGTAATTTTCATATATTATTATTGAATCACTCTTTCAATTATAATAAATAAATATATATTCGATAAAATATATAAAAAAATGGAATAAATTATTATTATGATATTATTATTATTGTTGTTGTTGTAATCTATAACAAATAGTTAGTTTAAATATATGTAAATTTTAATTTTTTAAATAATAGCATTTATTTTTATTAATAAATAAGAAAAATCCAAAATTACAATAAAATTTACGACAAAAATTGTAAATTGGATACATAATTAAGATATTATTCTAAAATCATTAAGAAATTAATCATTTAAGATCATACCAAGACCATACAAGGAAAAGATGAAAATCTCAACTAGAAAAATTCGAACAACGGGTAGATAAGAACTGATCTGACTGCTACGGAAAACAAACCACAATAGGAGATTTAAACTACTAAAAAACCATCAATAAATCGCAAATAAGAGCCAAGCATCACGAGATAATTACCTGCGATCACATGTTGCGTATTCAAATCTAATTCGATAGTCTAAAGCAAGGAAGATTAACGAGATAACAAATGAACGTCATATTGATCAGTCGTGATTATGTCAAATCTAATCCAAAAAAAAAATAATAAAAAGTGAGTTATTCTAAAAGAAAATGACATAAAAAAAATTGGCGACGGCTACCAGAGCCGCCGCCTGCTAACGAAAGAAAAAGGAGACCAGGCAAGAGAAAAGAAAGCAAATCGCTAGGGCTATATATGTAAAATTTATTAATATTAGTATTGTACTGCACAACTCTAAAGTCATCATCATTGACCTAGTCATCAACTCAGTAAAATTATATCCACAAGCCCTCTTGAAATCTAATAATGTCATTAGCATTATTTCTCGTGTTAATATTACGTACATGTTATGTAACAGTAACATGGACAGGCTAATTAAATCCACAAGCCCCTTGAAATCAAATATTTATTATTTTTTGTTATTATATACACCTAGAACGATAACAATAGTCAAGCACCGTGAGTTAGCTTGCAGTTGTTGTAGCCACGATGACCAACAACATTAATCCCTTCTGTTTCATGTTTTCAGTGTTGTTCTTGTTCATGTGTTCGTCTCTTCAATCCCATGTCTGCTTTGCAGTTGATACCATCTCCTCCAACCAATCTCTTTCCGGTAATCAAACCATTGTCTCTTCTGGCGGAGTTTTCGAGCTTGGTTTCTTCAGACCAGGAAATTCCTCCAATTATTATATAGGGATGTGGTACAATAAGGTCTCCCGACTCACTGCAGTTTGGGTTGCAAACAGAGAAGAACCAGTCCGCGACATATATTCCTCGGTTTTGAAGATCTCTGACGGTAACTTGGTTCTGTTCAACGAGTCCCAAGTGCCAATTTGGTCTACAAATGTAAGCTCAGGCTCAGTCATCTCAAACTCTGCAGTAGCAGTACTTTTAGACGATGGGAACCTTGTTTTGCGAGAGGGGCTCGATTCGTCGACAATACTGTGGCAAAGTTTTGATCACCCTACAGACACTTGGCTTCCGGGTAGTAAGCTTAGATTCGATAAACGGACCAATCAAAGCCAACGTATTACTTCATGGAAAAGTCTTGATGATCCTGCACCAGGTCTCTTCTCTTTTGAGATAGATCCAGTTCAAACTAATCAAATTATTTCAGTGTGGAACAGGTCACAAACTTACTGGTTCAGTGGAACTTGGGATCAAAAGACAATGAGCTTCAGCTTAGTTCCGGAAATGAGAATCTTGACTATGCCGAGTTTGGCCTACAACTTCAGCCATGTTTCAGAAGAGAATGAGAGCTATTTCATTTACTATTATTATAATTCATCTATCATAACTAAATATTTCATGGATTCCTCGGGACAGATGAAGCAAATGTCATGGTTGGAAAATATAGAACAGTGGACTGTGTTTTATTTTCAACCAAAACGCCAATGCGGGGTATATGCTTTTTGCGGGGCTTTTGCCAGCTGCAATGAAAATTTCCTGCCGTTTTGTAATTGTTTGAATGGCTTTCAGCCTACTTCTCTACAGAATTGGAACCAGGAGGTTTATTCCGGAGGGTGTGCAAGAACTACCAAACTGCAGTGCGACAATGCTAGTGGTACCGGAAAGGGGGACCGATTTTTAGAAAGTCGCTACACAAATTTCCCTTCACATCCACAAAATACGATGTCTGTTAGCAGCATGGAATGCAAGTCAACCTGTATACAAAATTGTTCTTGTACTGCATATGCTTTTGAGAACAATCAGTGCTCAATTTGGATAGGAGCTCTCTTGAATCTGCAACAACTTGGACAAGATGATACTACATGGAAACTTCTGTATATCAAGTTGGCGGTTTCTGATATTGATAGCGAATCCAGTCCCGGAGACAAGAGGGTGATTTTTGTTCCAATTGCGGTTTCAATAGGACTACTCCTTTTAGGCCTTATGATGTTCATAATCATGAAATGGAGGAGAATAGTCATCGGTCCAAAACCAGCTAAAGGGTCACTTGTGGCTTTTGAATACAGAGATTTAGAGAAGGCAACCAAGAATTTCTCTGAGAAATTGGGAAAGGGAGGCTTTGGTTCTGTTTACAAAGGGACGTTGCCAGATGGAAGTATTATAGCTGTTAAGAAGCTTGAGAGCATCAACCAGGGAGAGAAACAATTTCGTGCAGAAGTTGGTACAATTGGGTGGATCAATCATGTTAATCTAGTTCGTCTTTGTGGATTCTGCTCTAAGGGTTCAAGTAAGTTGTTGGTGTATGATTTCGTGACAAAAGGATCTTTAGACAGACATCTTTTCCATGGAATAGATTCAGAACCACTGGACTGGAAAACAAGATATCAAATTGCTCTGGGTGTAGCGAGAGGCCTGGCTTATCTCCATGAGAATTGTGTAGACAGCATCATTCACTGTGACATCAAGCCAGAAAACGTCCTTTTAGATGTTGATAAATGTCCAAAACTGTCGGATTTTGGCCTAGCAAAGCTTCTAGGACGAGAGTTTAGCCGAGTCCTGACTACCATGCGAGGAACAGTGGGTTATCTTGCACCAGAATGGGTTTCAGGAGTTGCTATAACTCCCAGAGCTGATGTTTACAGCTTCGGAATGATGCTTTTGGAACTTGTATCAGGAATGAGAAACTTCGATCCCACAAATGATAGAGAAGGTACGTTCTTTCCGGTTTGGGCTGCTAGACAAGTGAGTGAAGGCGTGAATGTCCTCAACCTACTTGATGATAGACTAAATGGGAATGCAGATTTAGAGGAGGTGTGTAGGATTTGTAAAGTAGCTTGTTGGTGTATACAGGATAATGAAAAGCAGAGGCCATCAATGGGTCATGTAGTACAGATCTTGGAAGGATTTTTCAATGTAAGCCTACCGCCGATGCCACGTTTTCTACAAGGAATTAGTGATGAGGGGAGCACATATTTTTCTTCACCGACATAACCATAAGCGTCAGTTCAAAGGCACACACCAAGCTTTAGCCTTTGCCACTCCAACCAAGAGCCTTTCATCAAAGAGAGTTCTTGAAGCATAGAAAGTATATGCTAAAATCACATTTAGCATGTCTAGATTTAGCTATAAATAGCTTATGTCTTTGTTTTACCTTATTTCTTTGACCTTTAATGACAAAGTTATTCGTGCATGTTTCAATTTCTTGATTTTTTTTATGTTATAAAGTTATATCGACCATTAACAGAAACCATCATGGTTTCAGATACAGCAAAGAGTTTAGATGATTGTACTGGTCAGCATTGTTTAATTTAACATGGATTGATGCTAAATTCATGGTCTTCAATTAAAGCCCGTTTAGACTTAAAGCTATAAACTATGGTTTATATTTAGAGTTTGAAAATTCTTGTTTGGCCCATTCATATGGACCCAGTCCACAAGTGACGTACCATTATGGAATTCTTGTGTGTTTAGACTAGGCTCGAAATTGGGGTGATTCCACTGGCGAGTAAAAACGCGAAACAGGAACCCCAGACATGTGGCTCTGTGTGGCACCATTGAGAGTTACGTGCCTTATCTGCTTCCTGCGGTGGTCCATATAGTCTTCGGTCATCTCCATAATATTGGGACGGATAGCAATCGGGAACGATCTCACCAACTAGCATGATAATGGCTTCCTTAACTCTCTCTCCTGCTGCTCCTTCGCAGGTACCACATGTTGGTAGTTTTAACTTACTCTGTTCTAAACCTTTAGCTGAATTTTGGTGTTCTGATAAACAGCTATGCTCAAGCAAGAGTGGCGTGTTCCGCCCTTCACAAAGACTTCTTGTGAAACCAACTGGGAAAAGTGTTATGAAAAAGGAGAAGGGAATGAGAATCACATGCCAGGCCACTACAAGTATCTCTCCTGATAGAGTGCCGGACATGGGCAAGAGACAGCTCATGAATCTGCTTCTGTTGGGGGCTATTTCACTCCCCACCGGTTTCATGTTGGTTCCTTATGGAGCCTTCTTTGTCCCACCTGGGTAATCTTCTCTTCCTTCTCCACTCTTCTTTAGGGATTGAGGGTGGTAAATGATTCATCTGATTCTTATAACAGTGGCGGAGGTGCCGGTGGCGGTACCATTGCCAAGGATGCAATCGGGAACGATATTATTGGTGCAGAATGGCTTGAGACTCATGGCCCCGGGGACCGAACCTTGGCTCAAGGATTGAAGGTAAAATATACTGTGCTAATTACTACATCAAAGAAGCTGATTTTCTAAATGTATTTTTTGTTTATTGTTATGAACTTGAGGGAGACCCGACTTACCTAGTGGTGGATAAAGACGGAAGTCTCGCAAATTATGGTATAAATGCTGTGTGCACACACCTCGGCTGTGTTGTTCCATGGAATCAAGCTGAGAACAAGTTCATATGCCCCTGCCATGGATCTCGGTACGACGATCAAGGAAGGGTTGTGAGAGGTCCTGCCCCCCTGGTGAGTTGCTTAACTGGAAAAAAGTATAATTTTTTATATTTATATCGAATATGTCTTGGACAAAGACGTCAAACATGAATATAGTAAGCAAAATTTAGTGTCTGTGTTGAAACAGTCTTTGGCATTGGCTCATGTTGAAGTTGAAGACACAGACGGGAAGGTAGTGTTAGTTCCATGGGTGGAAACTGATTTTAGAACCGGTGAAGCTCCCTGGTGGGCTTAGACATAGACACGATCATTGGCTGTTTGTTTGGGTTGCATTTGAGATTATATCCACTATCTAGAGTCTAGACAGTATGTTTTGTAATGTTGTTGAACATCCTATGACATAGTTTTATGCCCTGCATAACGCAGATAGTAGGTTGTAAGCCTGTAATAACACTATAGTATTCTTGTTTTGTTTTTTTCTTCCCTCTTTTTCCATGGATTAGGGTTAAAAGTGCTTGTTTATCCTTTCATCTCCTTCCTTTTGTCAAATGCCATTTCTTAAAAAAAAAAAACCCCTTCCTTGGTGTCTGTGACCGTCAGAAAAGGGAGGCAGCATCCTTTGGAAAGGGATACTGCACAGCGCAGAGCGACACCATTGTGAACACGTTACCTCATCTATGTATATTTTAAACATCTTTCTACAAAAATAATCCAACTTTTCTAACATAATCTTTTGGTTTGTAATCTCGAAGTAGAATTTCCCCATTAAAGAACTAGATTAAATTCATCCAAACCCTTGTTTATAGTTTTGATTAATATTTACTAGGCGACCAACATACTTTTCCTAGGGATTCCCTTCTTGTTAACTTGTTCTCCAAATTGAACAAACACTTATTTAAACATATCTCCGTTTGAACCAGCTTTTAAAATTATTGGCTTCCATCACCCGAGGCACATGGTCCAATTAACATACGGAACTGAATATAAAGAAATATATCAGCTTAAATCTCGATTATATATTAGAAAATTAACGTTGAAATACCAAGAAAAACAATTGAGGGAATAATGATTAAGTTGTAGAATGAAGAACTGGCATGCAAAAGTTGAATAATTATAACTACATATTAATAGAAAACCGTGCCTTGTTCTCGACCTCGGCTGTTACGTAATGTCAAACAAATCTGAAAACGAGCTGAAATTTACGGTGGACAAGAGGACAAAAAACACACCGCGTTAGCCCGTTTCTGTTTGTCAGCTAGCTTCGAAAGCTTCACGTGATTCCCAGACAGTCTCAGATGACTGAAAAAACAAAATAGTAAGCATCGCCGGTCGAGGCTACCCGAAGAGTAAAACCAAAATAATTGGGGGCAGAATCGGGAACGCAAAAGCCGGTGACGGCGTTGGTGCCGACGACTGAGCCTTCTCGAACTGAAGAGAATCAACGGCTAAGGGCATGTTCTCTTGATCCGGGCTGCACTTGGATTCGTGAGGGTGTGCACTGTACATTATGGCCCTTAGTACGGCCGAAACGGTGGGAATGTAGGCCGTTTTGTTGCGCGCGAGGAGCCAAGTCAGTCCCATGAGCTGACAGTCTCGGTTGAACATCTTGTTGGCTCTTTCGGTCGTGCTCCTGTCTTGCGTTCCGTTCTCGTTGTACCCACCTTTGAGCTGTAATAAATTTGCAGAACAAGAAACAAAGGATTTAGCTGCACGAAAGGGGAAACGTCTAATTGTTTGCAGTGTAAATGGATAATAGTGTCTCATTCATGCACATGACAATGTCACTTTCATGGGTCTACCAGAATGGCTTTGGTCCCTTCCATAAAATGGCAAAAATTCCTCCTTCAAACCATTTCTCCATCATGTGGCCATCACAAATTCGCCATGGCCATCTAAAGTTCTTAACTTTGAAGTTTTGGGTTGTGGAAAAGTTCATTGCAAAGCACAAATTTTTATAGTATCCGTTATTAAATGCGTTCTATGAAACAGAGTGAGGTTTATTTAAGACGATATTCCTAGAATTGATGTATTCGCATGAACAGATTGTCGGGTTCATTAACTACGCAGCCATTAAAGGACCCTGAGAAAAGGAAACGACTTCCAATAATGACTTACCTTTTGAAGAGCACCGAGGCATTTGGTACACCCAGCATAACTAGAGTTCTTGCAATTCTTCTCCAAATTCTTCACGGCAGCGGTGGGCGTCGCGTTTCGGTGCCCGGAAATGTTAAACGCAGCCGGGCAACTGAGGGAACTGATCTGGTGTAGTCTTATCCCGCAAAAACAAAGAATCGCATCGCAACTCGCGTTCGGTTGAGGAATCCTCACCCGCTTGCTTAACAATGCGTTCTGCAACGAGTTCACACACTTTTGTGAATCGTCTGGCCTCATAGGCTGGTCTGGTAGCTCAGATTCCGCCGGAGCAGGGGCCGAGACCTGCAAAGCATATCTGGCGTGAGCTGCAAAGAGCCACGCTGCTAAGACGGGACAGCAGCGGCTTCTGTCTAGGTTGTGGCCACAGGCGTCACTGACACCTCCGAATAGCTCGGCCGACAAGTCAAGCCGGCAAACTTGAGCTTGGGTTTGAGCAGGTAGTGCCGGGACCGTGTTCGGGGATGAGTCGGCTCCGGGAACCGGTTCAGCTAGGAAACCGGCGAGGGAATGACGGAAGATAGTAAAAGAAAAAAGTAGTAAAAACGTGGAAATGAGGGGAAAAGAAACCATGGTTATTTTATCCGATTTGTACGTCTAAATGATGAGGCTTTTGCCCTTTAGATGGTTGTTTTCAAAGGAAAGAGACGGTGGGAAGGCAAAAACAAAGCAAAGGAGACGACTTTGAATCAGCTTGAATAATGATGGTGCCCTTTTCACATAGGTAAAAAAATGGGAAACAGATTCAAAAGGTGTGTAAAAAGGAACTGGTGCTTTGTGCCTTTCCCCGAACCCAAAAATATAAAACAATCAGCTGCTGCCTGATGCGACTAGAAGCTGCAGCAGTTTACAGAAAACGAAGGAAAAGTGAGTAATAGAGAGAGAGCTTCGAAGAAATGGAGATCGGATTGGGCATATCTCTTCTTTTTCTCTCTCTTTTCCTGGTGTTTAAGCAGGGATTATAGAGGTTCCTACAATCTTTTGTCGTCAAAGAAAATGAGAAATGACAGAGATTATACATACAAATATACGAGAATATCCACTCCGAGAGAGAGATAGAGAGGTGTTGTCTAGTTTGGCATTAGTGACAGATTTGTTAAGTTTTCAAAGGTTCGAATGAAAAAGTAAAAAATCCCAGAAAACAATGGACATGCAGACAATTTCCTGTTACGAAACAAGACCAAATCCCACAAACACCTTTCATCGTGTCGGGCCTAACTAATATATCTGATTTGTAAGATTATAATTGTGCAGAATTTTTAATTATTGCTAATTTATATTATAAACGTCGTTATTTCAGTTTAAAATTTTTAAATATATTTATTTTTATCATTAAAGTTACTCAATAAATTTGCATTCTACTCCCTTGTTTTAGTACAAAATTTAATTGAGGGCATTTAACTCTATAATTATCCAAAGACACCCATGAGTCAGATTTGAGCCACCTTATGTATAATATTAACACATTTAATGTTTGTATGATTCACATTCAACTTAAAACATGAATTTCGTAATTTTACTTAATCCGTCCAATTTTATGAATGATTAATTTAGACCTTTAGTACTCTCATGGTTCATAAAAAATAATATTCAAATAGTTGTTGAGAAAATGTCTAAAATATCTTTCTTTTATGTAGACTCTAATGAAAGTTTAATGGAGAATACAATACCTACCGCAAGGGACTGGTTGCCACTAAGTCAATACGAAGCATGATTGGCCTTTTTCCCATTTTGAATTTATTGGTCATTGTAACTTTTGGGACATTACCTTTCCGTATTATGTGTTTAATAAGCACCCACTTCAGTTACCATGACCTTGAATTTTCCTAAAAGCCCACTTCAATAATGTCTTAAATTATGTTCAAACAAATCAAAACTTAATAGAATATGATGAATCAGAATGGGTTAAATTCATTATATACATAAGCTGAAAGCTTACTTAAAAACAATACGGTAAATTACTATTTTGTAATCAATAGTCAACTAAGGGGATTTTTTTATATAAAAAAATCATTAGGAAACGTAAAAAAGAGTGCGAGAGAGGGAGAGGGGAGCGTAGTATCCAATAGGGCATGAGATAGGAAACACAGAAAAGACAGCGTAAAAAGACAGACTACCGTGAGGAAATAGGCAAAAGAATCCTATGGATTTTGACGTCTCTGTTTGAACTCGTATTACCCAACATTATGTGCGTGACATGTGCATGACATGTGCATGCGGTCGATACAAACTCGTATGCGATATTAAAGTTAAATGGGTATTTTACAGTGGTAGGGTATAATGTTGTTTAGCGGAATTAGGCATTAAGTTTATTATGTATGGTCAGGGGTTCGAATTTTGACGTTTGTAAATAGAGTAAACTGGGTTGGGAGATTCACTCTCGCCTCTGCAGTACTCGATCTGGATTAGTCGATTAATAGATCGGATACCAGTGATTAATTCAAAAACAGAAAAAATAAGAAAATTATATAAAATCGAGGGATTAAATTGAAAATTTTAAATTTTTTTATAAAAAATAGAAATTAAAAGTACATATGTATTCTACGATAGTCTAGGACATGTGGTTCAAATTTAGTAAAAAATAGACTTAAAATAAAATAAGAATTGAATGAATAAAGAAATCAGGAACTAAATCATAAAACCGTCAAAACACTCACCCAAATTTTTGGTTTTTCGAGTGACTTGAAAATATTAAATCTCAACTCTACTCGAAATAAAAAACAGATCAATAATTTGACTCGACTCAAATAACTCGAAACTGAAAAACAATTGAGCCTAGTTTTGCTCACCCTATGCATAGACTTTGTTTATTTCTTTTAGGGTAAATTATATGATTAGTCATTCAATTATTTGCACAATTTTATTTCGATCACCTAATTATTTTTTAAAAAATTATATATAACGTTACGTTTTGGTTTCATTTTGGTCACTCGTAGTTTCAAAAAAATAACAATGATACTGAGATATCACCATAAGATTATGTCTTGTCATCATTGAAAATAAAAATGTCACGTTAAACGTTTTACTTACGGCCGACGGGTGACCAAAATGAAACTAAAGTTTAATGTTATATATAATTTAAAAAAAATAGTTGAGCAACCAAAACGAAACTACATAAATAATTTGTTTAACATCTTTAGCAGAATCTTCCAAGAAATACACTACCTTGTGGAAAATGGACAAAGCACAAATGTCCAAATAAGTGTGCCTTAACAACTACCTGTCAAAAGTTAATCTTGCTTCCTTTCTTCGTTCTCTTTGCATACACTGACAGCTTCAATTTTCTGTTAGAAGAAAAATGGCTGTCAAACACTCACAGAAATGCACGATTCAAAGAACATAAGCCAACATCAAGAGGAAAAATATACTGATCCAAAGACGGAGACAAAGACAACCATCTGGTAACTCCAACGAAAAGTTCTCTTATATGTTTATTCAGCATGCATGCACTTAGTGACAGATCTAAAAATACTTTTCAAGATGGACACACATATGTTAATAATATAAAATTTTTAAATTGGATGAGTACAAAAAAATTATGAAGACACCATCTGTAAAATAAATAACAAATCGAAAAAACTCAAATTTTAAGAAAGACACAAAAAATTTTAAAATGAACACGTGTTCACCTATTCAAACTGTGACTCGCCCACTACATGCACTTAATTTGTTACTATTGAAGATTATAATTTAAACTTGCATAGCTTTATTTAAGACCTGGGTATGTATATTTTATCCAAGACTAGATAGTGGGCGAAATCTGATTCATATTATATAGCAGAAGCTTTGGTAAATGAGCTAAAAGGGCGTGAAAAAGGTGTAATCATGTTGTCGCCAAGTCAGGTCGACGGGCCCCAACATTTTCTCAACCATTACCAGTTTATTCGAAGAAGGGGAGGTACGGACGGTGTTTGGTTTACGCTTAGCCCCATCCTACTATTGTAAAGCCCATTATCTTCCGTAACCCAGTTTATTTTGTTTCTATCTTTAATACCACTCGAACTATTTTGAGCATAATTCTCTGAATTTGAAACCCTGAGTCACAGCTTGTTTGCTTCCCGTCCCCGAGACCCATCCGACCTGCAGTGTCGACTTTCCGGGTTCCGATCTCGGCCTCATCGGTCCTTCCATGATCCCTTCAGAGCTACGGTCTTGCATCCCCTAAATACCTCTTGGTTCTTTCTTGCACACCACACATGTTCCACGGGTATATATATGCAATCTTCTATCGAAATGGTTTTATATTTTAAAAGTGAACCATATGTTTTATGTTACACGTGATTGTTTTATGTATTAATGATTTTAACGATAGATGTTATTTATGCAACATGATTTTAAACAAAGGGTAAACTACACAGGTGACCACTAAACTATAGCCCCTTTTTCATTTTGACCACTGACGTTTTGATTCGATTAATCAGATCATCCAACTATTTAAATGGTTCAATCAAGCCACTGACCGTTAATTTTTAACGAAGGTGGTGATGTGACAGTTAATAAAACTAGCATAATTATATATTTGGTCCTCAATATTCATACATTTTATCAATTTAGTTACTATTTTAATTCAATTAAATAAATTTTACCCTCTGGAGATGCCACGTGTCACTATATGATTGGAGGGTGAATTTAGTTTATTTTAATATTTTAATTAAATAGATTTTCTCACCAATCTATGAATTTGGCTCAAAATTGCACAACATTTTTGTATATTGTGTTTAATGTTATTTCACACACACACACATATATATATATATATATATATATATATATATATATATATATATATATATATATTAAATTATAGTTAATCTAAGGCTTAAAAATGAAAAAGATGTTTATTATTTTTATTTTTAAATTAAATTATTTTTATTTTATTACTTGGATTCTCTAAATAATTTTAATATAATTTTATTTTTTTAATATAACTTATACATTATTATTTAAAAAATAATTTTATATATAATTAAACTCATTTTCATTTTTAATATATTAAACTCAAAATAAAAACGAGCATAATATATATTAAATTATTTTTAAAATAATAATGTATAAGTTATATTAAAAAATAAAATTATATTAAAATTATTTAGAGAATCCAAGTAATAAAATAAAATAATTTAATTTAAAAATAAAAATATTAAACTCATTTTTATTTTTAAGTCTTAGATTAACGGTAATTTAATATATATATATATATATATATATATATATGAAATAACATTAAACATAATATATAAAATGTTGTGCAATTTTCAACCATATTGATAGTTTGGCCTAGTGGCAAAGGCTCCAGGGTTCAAATCACCCCCTAAGCCCCTTCTAAGTTTAATTTGTTTTCCCTTTACACAAGTGGTGACACGTGGTATCTTCAAATTAGAGGGTTAAATTTATTTAATTAAATTAAATTAAGACTAAATTGATATAATGTGTAAATATTAAGGATTAAATATATAATTACGCCAATTTTATTAATTGCCCCGTCATCATCTCTGTTAGAAGTTAACGACGAGTGACTTGATTGAATCATTTAAATAGTGAGATGGTCTGATTGATCGAATCAAAATATAGTGGTCAAAATGAAAACATATTATAGTTTAGTGGTCATGCGTGTAATTTACCCTTAAATAAAATATTATATTTAATTGCATGAGTTATAAATCTGTCCACCGATCCTGCTGCAACGTGGATTAGAACAAGTGGGAAACACGTAGCAATACTAAGTGATGAGTTCAAAAAAAAGATCGTAAACTACTTTAATTGTGAATTCAGTAAAGGGTCGGCTCATCTACCAAAATATGCCTCTTGTTTTCCAAATCCCAACAACACAGGTGGTTTTCTGCTCCCACAATCCAGCCAGGTTAATAATTTTAAAGCAGAACCCGTGTGCTCACTGCCCATTTTTTAATCCACTCACCATCATATTATCCTAAAATTCCACTCATTGCCCTTATCCATATGTCGTCAAGATGGGCATTTAAGTCATATTAATCCAAGTAAGTCCAACCTATCCGCACACCAAAAGAAAACCACCATCAAATAGCCTATAGTTTCCTTCTTATCCATCCCCTATTCCGCACTCTATAAATATAAGAATCCCCTTTGAACCACCTACCAACACCACCACAAAACCAGTGTGTATTTCTCCTATTTCGAGATTCGATATTCTCAAGATGAGTTCTAGCAGCAGCAGAGCGTGGATCGTCGCAGCTAGTATCGGAGCAGTGGAAGCACTGAAAGACCAAGGAATCTGCAGATGGAACTATACGTTAAGGTCAGCCTTCCAGCATGCCAAGAACCGTGTCAGGTCTGCTTCACAGGCCAAGACCCTGTCTTCCCAATCCTCGGCTGCGATTTCCAAGGGACTGGGCAGGGAGGAAGAGTCTTTGCGGACAGTCATGTACTTGAGCTGTTGGGGTCCCAACTGAGCCTTAATTCTTTAGAACATACATCCTTGGGCTGAACCCAAGTCGAACACACCGCGGCATGGCTGAGTTTCCCTCGGGTGGGTGTGTTTACGACGTACATAGCTTACGAAATGATGCACCAGAGCTATACTTGTCCATCTTCTTATAAGTAATGAAGACAAGTTTGAGAATCGACTGCTGTTCATTCTTGGTTCTTCTTTCTATTTTGCAGCCTTTTTCATTTTACAGTTTTGAGAAATTTTGTCGACTTGTTTTAATTTTGTGATTTATCTTTCATTAAATATATTAAGTAACATAAACATTTCATAAGGTTTTTGCTCATTTTAATTTTTAATTATTCAGTCAAACTTGGGAATATTTTTAATTTTTAATAATCGGATTTTATATTTTGACATAATAATTCACGTGAACTTGTTAAGAGTTTTATTTATGTAAAATTTTAGAAGCTTTGATAATAAAAGTAATGTTATATAATCAATCATTGACGAAGTTTTGATAAATCCTATGCGACGAAGTTAGCAAGTTTTCGGACAGCACGTGTATGAGTGTATCTAACTAAGCGGGAGGAAAAACACTCAGCACGTGTCAAAGAATTCCCTATTATCCCTCCAAACTTGAGAGACCAGGTGGTTTTGAGGTTCACTACCCTACCCCAATACTCGGTCCAGTCTATTCATTAAACTACATACCGTGTGCCCAGTGGATCACACCTCACTACTGTATATTATCCTAAATCCCATTCGTTGTCCTCTATTTCTCGTATCATGTGATTTCACAGGGGCGTTTAAGTCATATTCGAACCCCCAAAATGAAAACCACAGTCGAAAATCCACAAGCAAAAAAACGTATCAGGTCAGTCATTATAGGTTAACTGATATTGACAATTAAAAAAAATTAACATAAAATATTACTTAATAATTGGTACAATCACACGTTTAGTCTATATATTCTCTCAATTTAATTATATTTTAAAATAATATATATATTTTTAAATGAAAAAAATAAAATATATTTAAATATTTATTCACTAAGATATAAAATATGTATACTATGTTGTTTACTTTAGACCAAGCAATGATCTTTGTAACATCCTCAATATCGGGTTGGTGATTAAATTGTAAAATTTCAGAATTTGAGGATAGTTGAATAGTTCAATGATTTATGTGTAGATATTTCCTTAAAGTTGTTAGTAATTATTAAAGGAATTAAAGGGCAAAATGGTCATTTGACAAGAAAGATATTTTTCCCCCTTAATAAATATGAATCACGTGGGGGTGGGGGAAAGAGTTATCTGGAAACTCTTTTTTCTTTCTTCTTCTTCCTCTCCTTCCGTGAAAGCTCCAAGGCCAAGGTGAGTTTTCTGGTTAATCAATTAATTGTTGATTTTATGAGTTAGTTTTGATCATTAGATGATAACTAAGCTTAAGAAAAGCTTAAGTTATCTTAAAATTAAAAGATAAATGAGTAAGAGGAGATTGAAGAATTGGAGTTTTTAAGTGAAATTTTGAATAAGAAGGTTTATATGAATTTAGATGATGAATTTGCCTTGTCATCTATGAGAATAAGAAGCTAGAAGTGTTAGAATTAAGTTTGGGTAACATGAAAAATTTGGTATGATTATTGATTTCTATATGGAGAATAGAATTTTGAGGTTTAAGATGAAATTAATGGGTATACATTAGTTTAAGTATGTATATTTGAGTTAAGAATATTAAAGGAAGTGAAATAAGAAGTGTGGAGCTGAAAATGAAGTGATTTTCGAGCTCAAAACATGATTTCTAGGCTAGGGGAATTGGTACCCATTCAATGGGAATCGGTACCCATTAAGGGGGAATCGGTACTCATTCAAGGGGGAATCGATACCCCCTCAACCGAACCAAAAATTCCAGAATGTCTTTGGGGAACCAATTCCCCTACAGTAGGGAACCGATTCCCCCTAAAAGAAAAAGTGATTATTGGTTTAATGAGTTCGGTTAAGTTTCTAATATCAAATTACAAGGTGTAGGTATCTAATAATTGCCTTAAAATGTATAATTATGTAGATTCAAAGCCTAAACGAGTTCCGGAATCATTGTCAAGTAAGATCGATCAAAGGGAAAGATAAGAGATTGGAATTGACTAGTGAGGCCAGGTGAGTGCATATTCAATAGTATATGATGGGTGATGGGGAGAAGACTTGCGATGTGTCTATTTCCTGAAGTGTTACATATGAATTCATGATTAAAGGCATGAGTTGAATATGAGTGTATGTATGCTTGATTATATGAATTGATATGTTTTGTATGTGTTATGTGGTTTATGTACAAAAACTATTAAGTATTAATGAGAGAATATCAAATAAGTTATGAAATTATATGAATATAGAAGATAAGTCAAGAGATGTAGGGAAATGGAAATAGAGGTTTATGAAGAATCATAGGAGAATAAATATAAGTAATATGATAATGAAATATAAGACTATGTGAATACATGGTTATGAGAATTAGTAAAATAGAGTTATTTGATTTAATGAGAATTGAGGAAACTAAATAAGATTGAATTATAGAATGAAATGTGAATACTATATCAATTAGGGAACTTGAATATAAAGCGATGATATGTATATATATAGGATAAATTATATGCTAAAGATTTATAGAGTTATATGAAAATGTTATAAGGAATATATGAAATGGAATTAATTAAATGAATTAAAGTAGTATATAAATAAATTATTATTAAGTGTAATATATATGTTTAGAAATACGACATAAGTTATATAATCTAAGGGAATACAAAGAAATAAAGCATAAAGTAGACAAAATGAGATAAGTTATTATATACATATATGATATATGTTATCAGGTAATATGAAAGGATTCAGAAAACTTATATAAGTTATGTGAAAGTGATATAGGTGTTTATATGTGAATTATGCGGTAATAAGTTATATGAAATAAGTGTAGTGATTACCAAATCATAAGAGATAAGTCAGAGAATGTGAATGATATGACCAGAAACTATGAGCCCGTGTGATGAAATGAATATATGAAAACATGACTATGAGATATGTGATAAAAAGTTGTGATTAAATGATCAAGAGATATAAGCTAAGGGATATCTATGAATTACATGAAAAAGTTCTATGTGTAAGTGAATTACGTGATTATATGAATATGAAATCATATGAGAATTAACATGAACTACGTGATTACATGTATGTGTGAAAGAAGCTACAAGCTTATATGAATATGTGATATGTTTACATGAATATGTGCAAGGATATAAAAGATAGTGCCCATATTATGTGTCTTGAGAGCTTTGGGGTATAGTTGGCATGCCAAGAGTCGAGGGTCTACGCGGTCTTTCGGGACATATAGGTATTCTATGGAACATCTATGAGGTCCTTTGAGACACGTATTTGGTCCTTAGCATATGTATATGATTCTTAAGGAATTTTCTACGTGATCATTCGGGACATATATGTATTCTTTGGAGCATGCATGAGGTCTTTTGAGACACTTACTTGATCATTGGTATATGTATATGGTTCTTAAGGAATTTATATGTGGTCCTTATGGACAATCTTATATGGCACTACGGTGCAAATTCTACGCGACACTTCGGTGCAATTATACGAACTGTGGTGACAACATTAGTGTACAACCTCTATAGACTCACATACCTATAGTTCTCACATATGTCCATGGGCTAATCATGAGATAATAACAAATATATGTTTGTGATATAATAAATGTTGTAGAAATGATATGATGTCATGTGTGTATATTGTTTGATTAAGGGGTTTAAGTATAAAAGTATGTGATTAAAAGATAAATTGTTAATGATGCTTTATGTGTATGTAGGTATATTTTGTTAAGTAATTTGATATGATTTTGTATGCTATGATGAAATAAGGTGATTTAGTATAGCATGATATAATGAAACATGCATGCATTGTTAAATGTTATTAAGTGCATTATAAGTTTTATTTGCCTCACTAAGTCAATGACTTAGCGTGTGAGTGTTTCACACGTAGGTTCCGGAAAGCTAGAAGAAAAGCTAAGAGAGCAAGACAAGTCAGCATCTCCCTTACAAATTTCAGATCATAAAATAGATGATTTAAATGATTTTGGTTATTTTGAATATAATTGGCATGTACTAAAAGATTGAGTTAATATGCTCTGATTAATTTTAGTTATTGTGGTCAAGTTATGTAAATAAACTGCTTTTACTTTAATTAAAATTTTAAATTTTCTTTGAATTTTGTCAAGAGTCAAAGTTTGAAAAGTCAATGTGACAATTCAGACTCGGATTCAGGTATGGGTTGGGGGTGTTACAATCTTAGTTTAATGGTTGGATACATATTTAATTTCTTAAGTGACCAATGTTTGAATCTTTTTTGTTCCAATTTGATTTTCTTTGCTTTATTCCAACTTGAGGGTGACACATCACTCTTTGATTGATAGAAATAAATATATTAAATTAAAATAAAGTTAGTCTTTCAACTGAATGGTGACACATGGTATGACATGTAACATCATTCGATTGGAGGATTAAATTTTTTTTAATTGATTAAAAGTATGACTAAATTGATAGAATATGTGAATAACAAGAACTAAATATGTGATTATATCAAAATATTCAATCGTGGTTAACGTCGGTTAACTTGGGATGACCATATCTTAATTAAATAAAAACAAAAATGACAATATGTTACGTTTTTCAAAATCAGTGACCGAAATTGAACAAAATAAAAACATAAGTGATCATTCATATATTTAACCCAATATTTAATTACCAAATTAGCACGTTGCCTCCTGTTTTCCTCCGAACCGGAGAAAGCAGGTGGTTTGGGCATTTAAGTCCAACTGCGTACAAGTACATCCCACCTCACCAGAAAAAGAAGCAAAACCATTGTGGAAAAACCACGAGCGATAAGCAAACAACCTGTGGTTTCTCTCTTTCCATTTCTGGTCTTCTTATCTTTCTTTATTTCCCCTATATATACAAGAAGCCCTTCAGTTACCCCCATCAACAAAACAAACATCAAAATCTGTCCATTTTCCTAGTACCCATCTTCCTCAATTTAAGGATTTAAGAATCAAAGTGTAGTTGCAACTTGCAAGATGAGTTCAACAAGCAGAGCGTGGGTTGTTGCAGCCAGCATGGGAGCTGTGGAGGCTCTGAA